CTGCTTCAGGAAATGGTGTCCATAATATTGAACCATTTGCTCATCAATGGTCAGATTTTTGGAAAATATACCAAATATCATGAAGAGCTGGTTTATCATTTCAATTATAGGAGCTATCTTGAACGATTTTTGGCCTAAACGAGTTCTCAATGTTGAATTGTCATTGAAATGATGGTTTTGCTTCAGCTCAAGCTACCGGTTCTGTCTGTTCAGATACATTTCCAAACCAAAAACATGTGATGAAATGATTTATTTTGCATCATTCCTTCAATTTACTTTACTAAGTGAATGATAATGTTGCTAACTTTTGTTACTTTATGAAAAATTTTGGTAATACATCAGTATGTGGTAAAATACATTTTCCTTGACTTTACGATATTCTTACTGCCCATGATCCCCAAATGGGGATCGGCATAAATTACATATTTACAGCATTACTAACAGTATAATTGAGACTTATCTTAGCATTTTCAGAAGAACATAGACTATTCTACCACCTACTATGGTATTATGAATCAGAAATGCTTATAAAGGGAAAAATGTACATGTCAAAAATTGATATCTCTGTCAGATCACGATCAAGGTCACTTCTCTCAGAAAATTTCATATATTCCATTTTTCAGATAAAAGGATACACTCTTAACTGATCTCAGTTGATGTCTATAACCTATATGTATACTTTATTGAAGAAGAACATGTTCCTGATCAATAGTTCAGGAATAGTATCCACAAAATCAAACGATCCCCAATTGGGGATCATGGGCGCTAATGGGTTGAATTACCTACGATGTCGGAATATACCGCGTTTACCCTAATTAAGGGGAGCGTCTGCCCCAAAAATTATCTCTGATATCAACAGACAGATTGATTCAAAATTTGGTACATGTATGTAAAACAGAATTTTGTTTTTATTTGTTCCCATGAATTTTTCAAAAAAATGAAAGAAAATGTGAAATTCTTAGAAAACGGCCAAAAAGGAGGTATGCCTGTATGGTACTATAGAAGTCCTAACTCCTCCTAGGATTTCAAGCTACAACATTGAGACACATATCATTCAATGCATAAAAACCATATCTAATAACTGGTGAGGGTTTTTTGAATTTCTCATTTTTGTGGGTGTGGGAGCATTTTTTCCAAAATTTTTTGAAATATTCCAATTTTACCTCTGCCCTCCCCCCTTTTTGCAAGATATAATCCAAACTATAACGAACTTAGAAAAAAGCCACCACCAGTTTGTAGATCTTTTATTTGCAAATCGAACGGTATATGTCTCATTGATGTGATGTAGCTTCAAAACTCTAGGGAGGAGATAGGTTATGTTGTGACAATAAGTTAACTTTTCAGTAGGGCCTGACAAAGTTGTGTGCGCCTCAAAAAAGTCATTCAAGGGTGCAAGGTTGCAAGACTAGACGATAATTGAGCTCAATTTCTGTCAAGGATGGTGTGAATGACGGCATGAGAACCATCCCATACGGCTGCAGATGGACAAATGAAGCACAGCATGTTCAGACTAGCTATTTGAGTGTGCTACCAGTAATTTCGGCCTATCTTTAACACGTTCCCCGCGTATTGGGCCATATGTGTACCAATAGTGATAGTCCACTGCTGCATTTTGGGACACCAGTGTACCAAACACAGTATTTTATGCCATTTTGAAAAACACATATAACTCGAAATTTTGCACTTAAACTTTCTCTTTTATAATATTAATGTTCACTCAAAAAGTGGATTATTAAGTAAAACAAATCAATGGACCAAAATTTTATTTGTAAATCTCCTTGAACAAACAATAAGTAACTGTAAAAATTCTAACTAATAATTCCCTTCTGTTCCCTTCTGTTCCCATCTATTCCCTTTTATTCCCTTTTATTCCTTTTTATTCCCTTCTATTCCCTTCTGTTCCCTTCTATTCCCTTCTATTCCCTTCTATTCCCTACTATTCCCTACTATTCCCTTCTATTCCCTGCTATTCCCTTCTATTCCATTCTAGTCCCTTCTATTCCCTTCTATTCCCTTCTGTTCCCTTCTATTCCCTTCTGTTCCTTTCTATTCCCTTCTGTTCCCTTCTACTCCCTTATATTTCCTTCTATTCCCTTCTGTTCTATTATGGCTAGCTATGGCTAGCTATGATGCCACAGAGCAGCACACACCTCCTCTTGTCACGGCCAATGGCGCCTAACTGAAGCAGCAATCACTGAAAGCCTTCCGCAATAAGGGAATACTGGGGAAATCTGGATACGCGGGGAACGTGTTAATGTTGAAGAACTCTACCCCCCCCAACTCTTTCGTGATCTGTCGTGAACACATAAATCAACATACAGAGATGGTTTTGGTACCGTTAGATGCATCAGAATATAAGCTTCAAGATGAGTATAAAAACCAAAAAAGTAAAAAAATTTTATTTCGAGGCCAACGCTCTGGCTACCCTAAATTTTCAATTTTGGCATTTTCCGGTTTTTGTGCTCATCTTAAAGCTTACTTTCTGACGCATCGAATGGTACCAGAATCATCTCTCTTCATCGAAAAATGATTTCGTGACAGCTCCCCAAAGGGGGGCGGTTTTGAGGGCCCTTCAGTAAAATCCATGGGATTAATTCAAAGGCTGGACACACTAAAAAGGAACGTCTGACATAAAGCAGCCAATTATGGCATTATCTGGTGCTTATACTCATCTTAAAGCTTACTTTCTGATGCGACAAACGCTACTAGAACCATCTTTCTACGTGCATTTTTACGTACACGATGCGCGTACACGGGGGGCAGTGTTGGGGGCCTTAACTAATCCCTATGGGCGTAATTGGAAGGCGGGACTATAAATACAGCCTGCTGTCGCCAAAGCTGTCAGTGTCCATCATGACAGCGAGGTGAGAGGTGTGCAGCCAGTCGCTCTATGCCTTCCAGACTTGGTTTGAGGCTTAGTTACGGTATCTAGGCTACGTTACGACTCTTTTATGTCATTTTACGTGCCACATGCCAGTTTTTTTGGGCGTGGTGAAAACCTCCTATTGCTCTCACGGCAAACCTATCTCCTCCTACAGTTTTCAAGCTACAGCAATGAGACATATACCATTCGATTTGTAAAGACCATACCTATCAAATTGATGATCACTTTTTTTAATTTGTGTATGGTTCGTCTTATATATGGGGGAGAAGGGGGGGGAAGGGGGAAAAATGAGGAAAAATGGGAACAAACGCACATAAAAAAAAAACTATGGGGAAAATGAGAAAAATGATCATCAAATCGATAGGTATGGTCTTTACGAATCGAATGATACGTGTCTTGATGTTGTAGGATGATATTTGTAGGAGGAGATAGATTTTCTAAAGTACCCCCTTTTTAGCCGTTTTCTATGAATTTAACGTTTTCTATCAATTTTTTTGAAAAATTCATATGATCAAAATGTTATTGTTTTTACATTTTACGTATGTATGTGAAGTTTCATGATGATCAGATAATAACTGTATAAGTTTTTCTGGAGGGTAGCCAGTCCCCTTAAGTTAACCAGTATACATATGCTATATTTACTGGTTAACTTGATTATTATACAAACTCAACAGTCTTAACTTGATATTCAACTTGATGACACACCATATATAATATAACATACCATGTTAATAACATACCATATATGGGCACAAACAATCACAGCTGGAAAGGGGATGACATCACAATCTCACCAATCAATCACAGCTGGAATGGAATATCATCAACAGATATGTATATAATGGACTGAAAGTGAAAAGTTCCTGGCCTTTCCAAGCTTTCGGGTTTTGCTTTCTAAACTATCATGTTTTGCTTTCCAATATGCTAAGTGTACTGGTTAATTTAATACCCCTCTAAAATTCCATACTTAATTAGACCCATAGACTGATAGACCTAACCATGTATTCCTGTAATAGTAGTGGATTAAAAGCACTCATTAGGTTTGATTATTTTCATCTTTTCTGACTAGGTTGAAGTTAGGAAACTGATATACAAGTCACTTGAGTTGAACCCCATGTCTTGGTTTTGTGCTGGGCTCTCTTGTATTGTTCTCCCTATATACTATGTTCTTTCTTGTTGAGATTGCTTCTTGATTATTTATAAATAAAAAACAGTAAAAAGTTGGACAGATGGAGTAAGAAAGTGTAGGAGAGGTGGAGACCATCAGTAAACAATTGTTTTACTGAACCCTGTTGCAATAAACACCCTCAGGCACACAGCCTGGTCAGCGACGCTTTTGACTTGGTGTCACATAACAATATCAAATGTAGCCAAGTTGTGTGCATCAAATATTGTTGATGCATCAAGCAAATAATTGTGTACTTAATTAACTTAGGACAAGTGAATTTTGTTGCAAAAGTTAAAAGTAAGGCCTTCTTGTGAACCTCCATTGTGCTTAGTACAAATTTCTGTATCCCTCCAGTGTTATTTCCATTGCTGCTTACATTATCCATTAAAAAACTTCAACCTAAATTATTCACAATTCTCATCACATTTGGTGATGATGCCCATTAGCAAAAAAGGCAGTGTTGTGCCACACCAACTCTCTGATGCTGCAGTCAGAAGTTGCAGATGCCCAGAGCAGAGCCTCACTCAAGCATCTCCTGGTGGCAGCAAAGTAAAGTCTGAAGGTAAGCCAGATTCCATGTGCCTCACTAATCAATTGTTATTATACAGAGGAACTGAGTTCCTGCAAATTTTTCAGATTTATTTCTCATTTGTGATTATTTCTCAATAGTTTCAGTACAAGATATGATAACATTGTGTGGGAATATGCAGCCTCATTAGTCTCGCTCATCAGAGTGATATTAGCTATTTTTGAATTAAAGCTCACATGACTCATTAATTTAGTGTGCATTATATAAACTGTTAGATATCTTGCTCCATAGCCCAGTTGTACCAGTACACTAATGCATATATTTTCCAGCCTTGGAAAATGTTGATCCTCCACCAGTTCTCGAAGTTTCTACAATCTACATCAAGGAGGAACCTGAGGATGAAACTGAAGAAGTATCCATCAAAGAGGAACCATTCTTATATGGAGATGAGGTAGGCAGAGCTGATGTGCAAATTAGTGTTAAGCAAAGTATATAATATTTTTGCATAGATTTTCATGTAAAAATATGCAGAAAGCTATTTCCATAATTAAATTTTCAAGTTTGGTATCAGGAGACAAATCTTAACCCAGTGTCAAGTCTGAAATATTCAGCAATAATAATTAGGTATGAAGCACCCTCATCTTGCTTTGATAATTGATAATAAATTAGGAACTTTGATTTTTAATTACTTGCATTAGGATTGCTATTCTAAAATCAAACTCATGTTTTTTTCTCATAGTTGTCTCTAGTCAAATAACTCTGATATGTGATGGCCTCTATTGGCAGGAAATATGCAAAACTGCCTAAATACAATACAAAGAATCAAGTGCTAAGAACATTTATAATTGCCACCTATTTTCATATTTCCATTTTAATTTGAAAACTAGCAAGCAAAACATTTGTATCTTGAAGCATCAATATGAGGAAACGTTTTTACAGCCAGTAATTTTGATGCTATGACATTCATGCGCTCTTGAGGAAATTTGGAACTTGCAGACTTCAGGGAGTAGTTGTATATAACATCCTATCTGAAAATGCACGTATCACTGTCAGCACCTCAATTTTGTCCTCCACTTCTCCCCAGGCATCTCCAAATCAACATCTTCCTGGTTTAACATGCAAGACAGAAGTAAAAGTTGAGGCTCCAGACGTCCACCTTAACTCCACACAAGACATTTCTGCTTTGTTGTTAAATCAGGTATGTATACATAATTTTAGCTTTCACTAATACACACTATAACTAAAAAATTTGAAACATTTTCCCAGTTCCTCAAGATTGCAGATGTTTCAATTTATTGTGGGTATTTAAGGATAAAATTGATGACTTAATAAGTGCTTTTCATTCAATTAAGTGATTTTTTAATTCAATCCTGCTAGTGAAACCTAATTTTTAATCTTCAAAAATTGATGGTAATGCCGTTACCCTAAGCAAGATCAAAACGTGGAACAAAATATTTATTTCATGCAGTGAAGGAAGATGAGGGAATGCACTTGAACCTGTTACAATAAATGTAACATCCTCACACTCCTCATGTATTTGAGATCACATCCAAGAACGGATGGAATTGGTAATAAACGACACCACACAGCATGGGACGAATGGAAAATGAATTGCTTGGATTCACGGTATGAGTTGATGATGCCTCTGGTGGCATTGGTGTGGAGGCTGTTGTTGGCGTTTAAGAGTAGTGCTGGCCATGTTGTTTGGTAGCATTGGCTGAATGACATACAGAATGTTCCAAATTGTAGAATTAGTGGTTCTGTCATGTGATTTGGTGGCAGGGGTATTGCAGATGGAGACATTGCTGTAGTTATTGGGTGGAAAAGAGGTTGGTGTGTTATCTGGTGGTAAGCATTTGATTGTACATAAGTTGTAATGTCACTAGAATGCTTAAATTGCCAATTCACTACAAATTTAAGAACAAAGAAAGCTCAACACAAATTACCCATTACTCTATTGAAAAAAACGTTTTAGAGTCCAGCTTCATTGGCAGTTAAAAAATTTTAGAACACTGATAAAATTCAGATGTTAAGGAATTGAAATTTAAAAAATGAGAAGTTACAACCTCAACTTACAAACAAAAGACAGAGTAAGAAAGTGAAGAGAAAAAATAGTTAAAGCCTATCTATTCATAATTTCTACTGGATAAGAGCTAAAGGCTGCATTTAAACTAGGTATCTCATTGAAAATATACAATGATTTTAAAATACCTAGATCGGAAATACCAGAAAGGAAACTAAAACCTTAAAGTCTTTGTTGGACACTGGAACGTTGCCTTGTTTGGAGTGAGTGGCACAGCCAAATGAGAGGGGCACAGTAGTAACTGCCCAGTCATACAACTCCCTTTATGCTCAGCAACTCTAGAATAAAGATTCCCTGAGGTCCTCCCAATGTATGCAGATGCACATTGTGCACAACTATCAATATAAACTAGAGAAAATTGCAGATAAAATGGTAGGGCATCTTTGCACCTAAAGAAATGGACTATTTTAAAATTATTCCAAAATAAAATATGAATGTTAATGTTTGGAGTATTTCATACACAAGTCTTTTATTCTTGTGACAAAGCTCTGGATTCATGGTCAAAGTATGGAAAATAACAATGAACACCATTCCTATTATATTGCTCTAGAACAACCTCACTGTATCGCTAGGACATGAATTTCCTAATTTTGGTAAACACCAGCCTAGAAGGAAATCCATCAAGGGAAAAGATCTTGCACTAAATTTTAAATTCAGTGTGCATTGCATGTAAAATAGAACAAATTTAGAAGCTCCAGTGAAATAGTGTTCAAAGCGCATGCAACCTGAATAAAAAAGATCAAAAGCTAAAAAAGTTGGTATTAAGACCTGTGAAAGTTGATTTTTGGTAAACAGATGTCCGAAAGCAGCCACTAGATTTAGTAATATTGCAGTTGAGAAAGGGCAAGATATTATCACCTTATGACTTTATGATGAGTTTAGGACTTTGTAGTCTACGGTCTTGCTGATGCGCCACCTTCGTCATCCTCCGTCTCCAAGTCATCGATAGGCAGGTCTCCCACCCTCGGGCCCCGGATAAACTGTTTGACTTGTTCCGTCAATTTTCTTTCCTTTGGGCCAGCTGATGCAACATGCTGTTGCTTGTCACTTGCTGAGGGTAGTTTCTCATAACTGGATAATCCGGGATCTTTTTTAGAAATTTGTCCAGTCGCCTGGTGAATGTCGTGAGATTGAACTCCCCTCCTCTCAGCTTCTTTAGCAAGGTGTTAAACAGCTTTGGTCCTGCCACGGACAGTGATGCCTCCCATAGAGCTACTCTGGCCGTGGCTAGGTAATTAAATGGGAGAATTCTGCACAGTCTCCCCCTCCTTTAATTGTAATATATCACTATTCTGGAGAACTCACTTTCAAAGTTTAGAGCCAGTCCACTTATCATCTTCCAAGTGTAAAATATGGTATACCTCTCTCTTCTCTCCAATGAGGACAATCCCAGGAGTTTCAACCTGTCCCAGTAGTTCAGCTCCAGCTCCTTCATACCGCTGATCCTGTACCTGAAGGTCCCCTGGACTGACTCCAGTTTCCACACCGCGCTCGCCTTGAACGATGCCCAAAGCTGGCAACAGTACTCAAGATAGGGAAGCAAGAGGGCTCTGAGGAGTGTAACCATTGGTGCTGCTTCTCTCGTTCGAAATGTCCGCCAGATCAACCCCATCCATTGTCTGCCTTTTGCAACTATTTCCTGGATGCGCTAGATCCACCCCATCAGTTATCTGCCTTTCGCAACTATTTCGAACTATGCCTTTCGCAACTATCTCAAACTAGTTGCTTATCCTCAATTTCTGTGCCATCAGTTGTCAGTAGCGATGTGGCATCCTGGTCTCTGTGCAGACTTTATATCTCATTACTTCGAACTTGGTGCCATTGAATTGCATATTATTCACTATGGCCCAATTGTAGATTAGTCCTGTAATCGTAGTCATCCTGTGACCTCTCGCAGGCTAGGTCATCTGTTATCTTTATCAGCATTCTTGTATCGTCTGTCACCATCGCTTCTCTCGATGTCGAGTTTCCAATTGTGACCTCTTGTACTCAATCTAAGAAAGTTGTGAATCCATTCTAACAGGCTTCCTCCTACCCACAACAGCCTCAGCTTTCTAAATAGCACCCAATGGTCAACGTCATCAAAAGCTTTATCAAAGTTCATGTATAGAACATCTATGACAGCTCCCTCCTCCAGTTGGTCTACAAGAATTAGATTCAAGCTAAATTAAAATTTTACAGACTTGATTTAATTTATATGATAGATTCAAGCTGCATTGTAAATTTGATAGAATTATGTTACAAGTTTAGGTAATGAAAAAAAAGTTTAACATGAGAGGAATGCTTGAAAATAAAGAAGGTGTCATTGCCATATCTGTTATACATCATTTTCTTGAAATCAAGAAGACAATTGGTAAATGCAGCCTTCAGCTCTTTTCCACTAAAAACTTTGAATAGATAGGTTATGCCTTTTTTATAGTTTTAATTTTTACTTTATTACTCAGTCTTGTTTGTAAGTTTAGGTTTTAACTTCTGTATTTTTTTGCATAGGTTATGCATTTTTTATAGTTTTAATTCTACTTTATTACTTTGTCTTTTGCTTGTAATTTTAGGTTTCACCTTCTGTGTTTTTTTTATATATTACTCTATTAACTTCTGATTTTATCTGTGTTCTAGATTTTTTAACTGACAATGGAGCTGGACTCCAAAACGTGTTCAACAGAGATATGGTGGATTTGTGTGAATTTTCCTTCACTTATAAATTTTTAAGCATTCGATATTCAGAGTGGAGAAGTCTTTAGGCTGTTGTGCTGCTGCAACCAGTTATTGGATGCAAGGTGATATTTTGAACTTTTTGGAGGCTAGTGGAGTTAGTGGACTACGTGATAGGACTCAAGATTAGTTGATTTGGAGATGATAGTTTAGGAGGTTTGCTGTAGGTGTAGGTTGTCCTGGTATTGTCCAGAGTTTTTTTTAGAGTTTTTTTAGTATGCCATCCCATTTCGAGGCTTTTGCTGCCATGTTTATGGTGGTTGGTGAAAGCATGCATGACATCCAAGGTTAGGCAAAGGATTTTTGGGTTTTGTTCAAGCATAAGGTGTTGAAGGTGTTGGTTATTGATTTTGACACGAGGGTAGTAATGGCACTGGTTCGTTTGTTGTTTTATGAGGTTGAGTGTCTATTTAGTGATAGTAATTTTCAGTCTTTGGTTTCAGTTTGTCAAAGGTGGGTCAGCAACGGCATCAGGAGATGCTGCTGGCGGCGCTGGCGTCTCTGGGGCGTACAGCTCCACATATAAGCCTGTACAATGCTCTGAGTGTGATTATGCTTGTAGCACAAAAGGGGCTTTGAAAAGTCATATCCTTTACAAACATCCACTATATAAGCTTGTACAATGCTCTGAGTGTGATTATGGTTGTATCACAAAAGTGGAATTGAAGAGACATTTCCTCTTCAAACATTCAACAAAAAAACCTGTACTATGCACTGAGTGTGATTATGCTTGTACCACAAAAATTTGCTTGAAAAGTCATGTCTACCGCAAACATTCAAGAAAAATACTTTTGCAGTGCTCTGACTGTGATTATGTTGGTACCACAAAAAAGAACTTGAAAAGACATTTTCTGCGTAGGCATTCAGCAGAAAAAGACCCAGCTGTGCTGTAAGTGTGATGATATGTGTGTCGAAAATGCAAGTTTGAACAGCATCTACTTTCCAGAGGCCATCAGAAACTGCTACAGTGACCCAGGTGTGAAGATGTATGTGAATGAAGGAATCTTGACTCAGGAATCAAGTGCTGAACATTTAATCTTCTGAGACAACAGGACCAAGCTATGTAGAGTACGGTGTACCTAACCCAAGGCACCCACTGCCACCAAGGAAGAGGAGTTTAGCTGTTGAATACTCCTCGAAGGTGGCAGTCGCTTGTTACAGCGTGGATATGAAATAGAACGACGAAGCCAAAATGATACCTTGCACAGTTGCTTAGTCGTAGGAGTCAAACATTTGCATAGCATCCGTCATGTACCTAGAAATTGGAGTTTAAATAGATTTAGTGGTTGTTATAAACATCTCAGCGCCCGACAAAATGTTTTAAAATGTTGTTGCATGAGCTTGAATTTCGTTTTCAATAAAAAAAACTTTCTGTGATGATGGAGAGCGAGTGCTGTTTGCTTATTGAGGCTTGAATGCTACTTTATTGTAATATCAGCAGCCATTTTTCTTGAAACTTTCTTGAGGGACTGGAAGACGTCAGAGTGGCAGTCATATATCTAAGAATAACAGTGTTGTAGTTATTTTCAGGTTTGCTAACTAGCGGTTTCCAACTCTGCAGACGGTTATATGATAACAAATACTTTTTTATCCCTGTATAGATTTACTTTATCTGTAATTCAGTAATCGTTCAAATCTCGCGATAGCTTTGGTTCACTGAACTTCATATTTTTCGTTGGTGTCAACATTTCTATTACGTTCCATTTGGTAGATTTTTCTGAATAAGATTAGTAAACGCTGCTCCCAATGTAATTATATCATAAGTTTTGTGATTATTGCTTCTCTTTTTGCAAGTTGCTTATTTCCAGAAATGGCTTGTTCATAAATCTAGGTCTTGTACTGAATTTCGCTGCCCTAAGACTGGTTACTTGATTCCGTTATGTTGCAGTTGAAACAAAATGTACCCCATACCTATGACGGCTGTTATTCCTCCAGCGAAACTAGGCGGCACTATTGTTCTCAACCAACAGATAGTTGGGTCCAGCCCGTTTAACAGAGCGATTGTCGTCTTACAGCGCTCACGACCAACACATTTGTTGCCGTCTGATGCCTGCTGTAACCAAAGCCTTGGGCTAATACAGGGTCGTCGTTTATTGATTGTGCTTTGTCGCTGAAATCGTGATTTTTCATTTGTAGCAGCTTAACCAGGCGTTGTCTGGTATAGACATTCTCCGAAGTTTGAGAATCTAGCTATTAAAAGTCTCGCAATATCAAATCTACAGAATTCTTTTGCTAATATTCAAACTTGAGTAAATTTGAAGATAAGCAGCAGAACAAATGTGTTCGTAGATTAGCAGGAAAACAATCGACGAGAGTTGCAGGACAGCGAGGTGTTGTAGGCCAGAAGTCCCGACGAGAGTTACAGGACAGCGAGGTGTTGCAGGCCAGAAGTCCTAACGAGAGTCGCAGGACTGCGAGGTGTTGCAGGCCACAAGTCCTAACGAGAGTCGCAGGACTGCGAGGTGTTGCAGGCCAGAAGTCCCAACGAGAGTTGCCGGACAGCGAGGTATTGCAGGCCAGAAATCCAAACGAGAGTCGCAGGACTGCGAGGTGTTGCAGGCCAGAAGACCCAACGAGAGTTACAGGACGGCGAGGTGTTGCAGGCCAGAAGTCCCAACGAGAGTTGCTGGACAGCGAGGTGTTGCAGGCCAGAAGTCCCGACAAGAAATAAATATTTTATATTTCTGATGAATATCCTTTGATAAATATGTAGGATTTGACTCGATTGAGTATGAAAATGTGCTATAAGAATCAATTTCACGATTACACGCGAAAAATGTATGAGCGTTCAACAGTTAAGAGAAATAATGATTTATAGATAAAACAATCTTATTCCACTTGTCAATGATAATTGCTGATCGCGGAAGCCATTGCAGTGCATATGAGAAATTTCAATGTCGACTGAAATGCATGACGTCATCTCTTCTAAGGAATGAACAGCGGGACGGAAGTGGCTGCTTGACAGGTGACGGAGTGTTGCCGTTTGACAGGAGACGGAAGGTTGCCGCGTGACAGGTGACGAAGAGTTACCGCTTGACAGGTGACGGAGAGTTTCCGCTTGACAGGTGACAGTGAGCTGGCGCTTACATGTTGTGGTGAAAGAGGACACGCGGCGATTTCTGCAAGGCGCGCAGCTGCTTATGCGCCTTCGGCAGAACCGCGACGTGCTGTTGCTAGGTTCACTTCATGACTGCTGACGCCTTCGTCAGAACCGCGACGTGCGGTTGTCAGGTTGGGAGCGCAGCCGTGCACCACCAATTTTGTGCAGCAATAAGCCCTTAATCGAACGCCTTGGATCTCTCCGGACATCCACCAATCAGCTGTGAACCACTCGGCTTTGTCTTCCTCCGGCCTCGCATAGAAACTGCCGTGCACCACCAGGCCGCGGTTCAAATATGACTTCCGTGCATCGTTAAATTACGTAATTTTATGTTCACCGCATCTGAGGTTATGTTTCAGATAGCATAGTTCTGTTCCAAAATTTATAGTCCTTCGACGTGTGGCCGTTCGACCGAGGGCTGGTTCGACGCACGGCCTAGATAGGATTGTCCAGAATGTTGTAGGCTACGTTCCGGAAGGCAGGAATCATGATGGTCCATTACATTCAGGGCAGTCGTGGTCTTCGGCAGGCGACCCGTCAGGTTCACTTCATGATTGCTGACGCCTTCGTCCGGACCGCAACGTGCGGCTGTCAGGTGCACTTCATGACTTCTGACGCCTTCGTCAAGACTGCGACGTGCGGTTGCCAGGTTCACTTCATGTTTGCTGACGCCTTCGTGAGACTGCGACATGCGGTCGCTAGGCTCACTTCATTACTGCAAACGCCTTAGTCAGGATTGCGACGTGCGGTTGCTAGGTTCACTTCATGACTGCAGACACCTTCGTCAGGACCGCGACGTGCGGTTGCCAAGTTCACTTCAAGACTGCTGACGACTTCGTGCGCCACCGCTGAAATTGACCCGCTGTTGCCAGAACTTTTTAGACTATTAATATAAAATAGGTTTAAAAAATCCCTTTACAACGAGTATCAATAAATACGGTTTTTGGATCTTAAGTGTTCACATTACGACTTTGAATTATTAAAAGTTCCATTTTTGATCTCTATATTTCTAAAACGAAATTTTCTGTTGTTACCGTGAGGTAAAATTCTTGGCAGGGGTGACTAATGTGGTCACGAGTTCGTCGTATGCAAGTGTATAGAGTTTAATACATCGTAATAAAACGTGAAGAAGTAAGTGCAGTTCGGCATTAGAACAATTACTGGTTATGATGCACACGTCACATGAATAGGTATGAACATCAAATCTATTTGATAAAGTTATTCTGAATGTACCATCTTGGAAACAGTGTATTTGTTATTTCACGAAGCGTTTGCCTAGATCACAACAACGAAAAGTCAACCTAGCCATCACGTCGACCACCAACGATGAATTCGTCAGTTCACACAAAATTGTAAGGCGAAACGACTTTACAGCACGCCTGGAAGAACGCGTGTGCAACACACCGCAGCGTTTACACTAGCCCACTTGTCAACACGGTCTTCGGAGCTTCAATAATTATTCAGATCACACGTGAATTATTTTAAGAGTTCATTCACACATCGCAAGTTTTACATGCTGCTTAATTTCATTGAGGTTTACAATAACGAGACTGCGAAGAACCAACTATTGGTATTCAAAAAAGCGAAAAACCAGTGGAAGAGCAAGACAATGAGACGAAATCGTTGAATGATGTAGTAAAAGCCTTGAGTGAGATGGTGCGCTCGCTGAGTGAAAAATTGAGCTCGCGTTGCAATGAGCTGACTGAAGCGAAGGCTCAGCTGAAAAAAAAATTTTTTGAGGTAAAGACTCAAAGAGTTGATTTGTCCGAAATTGCTAGTGAAAGCTCACGCGAGTTACTAGACAGAGAACGTAGGAAATCCAACTTGGTTTGGTTTGGAGTTGCCGAGAGTTCTGCATCTGATACGAAGGACCGAGTGATGGCTGATACGAAATTTATTGAAGAATGATGTAGCAAGGCAATCAGCTCACCGGTTGATATTAAATCGTGCAAGAAGCTACGCTCGAAGGATGCTGCTGCCAACACATGCAGGTTTTTGTTTGTGACTGTAAAGGATCCTGCACTGGTTGGTATTTGTATTAGGATTGATATTCTAAAACCAAACCCATGTTTTTGTCTCATAATTGTCTGTTGTCAAATAACTATGACATGTGATGGCTTTTATTTGCAGAAAATAAAAATGAAATGTGATGGCCCCTATTGGCAAGAAGTATGCAAAACTGTCCAAATATAATGCAAAGAAAGAGGTGCTGAGAACATTTATGTAAAATATGCCAATTGGATAAAACAAAATTGTACTATTAGTGTGTAGTTGATTCTGTAATTGCCACCTATTTTCATATTTCCATTTTAATTTGAGAGCTGGCAAGCAAAACATTTATATCTTTAAAGCATCAATATGAGGAAACGTTTTACAGACAGTAATTTTGATGCTACAACATTCATGTGCTGTTGAAAAAATTTGGAACTTGCAGAGACCTAAAGAAGTAGTTGTATATTACATCGTATCTAAATATGCACATATCACTTTCAGCCACATCAATATTGTCTTCCACTTCTCCCCAGGCCTCTTCAAATCCAGGTCTTCCTGGTTTACCATGCAAGAAAGAAGCAAAAGTTGAAGCTCCTGATGCCCACCCAAACTTTGCACAAAACATT